GGAGGCCCCGGAGACCGGCACCGCCCGCACTCACCTTAGGGTCGATCTTCTTGAAGGCCGGGTCATCCTCGTCCACCTCGAAGTAGATTTCTGTGGTGGTGATGGAGAGCGTTCCCTTGGCCACCACCACGGGGGCGATGAGCTGAGCTGGCGTGCTGAGCACCACGGGGCCTGCAAGGCAAGGGCAGCGGCGTCAGGTTGGAGCAGCCCGGCCAACCCATCCCCGGTGGCCCTTCCCCTTCCCTCCGCCAAGCGAGCGCCCGGCGAGACCCTTAATAAAAACTCCGCTTGGGAACCACCGGGTTTGCTCCCCTCCTGCCCGCGGTCAGCGCTTTGAACTCCGCCGTCAGGACAGAAGAGAGCTTGTGAGCTCCGGGGTTGCGAGATAAATCAGCCAGCAGCAAAATTCAGAGGGGTTAGAGTGAAAAATAGCTGCCTCTTACAAGTAGGTCCCTTCTCTTTTCATGCCCTTTGGCTCCTCGTTAACACTATCGCTGTTTATGTGCGATAGCGACGACTCATTACACACCGCTCCGACCTTGCACCGAGGAGTCCCGGTGGCGGCCGGGCCAGGCTGGGCGGCAGATCAGCCTCTGCCCGCAGCCCCGACCCTGCGAAGCCTGAGGGCATTACTTGTAACTCTGGCTTCACATCTCAACTCGAAAAGACTGTATTTTTTTTTTTTTACCTACTTCAATACCACATGCACAAAAAGGCTAGCGTTGTTAAATATATTTACGGCAACACCGTTTTTATTTCAACTTGCTGTCACTTAATCCTTTTAAAATTACTGTAACAACGTTTCGCTGAAATACATTCCTTAACGAGACGCTTGCCTGGGCACTGAAAAGATGGGATGGGGAACACCTATTGTAAAAGGCAGCCTACTCCGCACAAATTATTAGGTTTTAATTCGGGAAAAAAACTTATGCTTTAGTGATAACTTTAGTGTTTTAGGATAACAGGGGGTCACTTTTTCACCATCTTATCTTCAACACGAATACAATCTACTGTTAAAGCTGACAGTGTTGGTGTTTAGGAAGCTCATTTGCTCTATTTAAAAGAAAATATTAAATATAAAACGCTCTTCTAGATTTAACCACTAAAGCGTGTAGTGTAATTTGTATACATGTAGATAAACACACACCTCTCTACACACATCCGACATACAAATCATAAAGGACCCAGTACTGAGAAGCTGGGTACCACATCCGAAGGACATACCTTTTAGACACTGGTAAAATGCTAAAAAAAAAAGGATTTGGTTTTTTTATACACTTAAAATCTGCCATGCAGTAGAGAAGCCCTTGCTCAGATGGCAGAGGGTGCCTGCGGACGCTCCCAGCTGCCATCCCCAGACACTCGGCTCCCTGGGGACGAAGGCAGCGCCTCCTCGGAGGGCCCGGCACGGCCGCGGCCAGCCCTGGGCTGCAGCTCGCACCAGGTCTACCAGGCAGGGGGGCATCCTCGCCTCCTCCCTCGGCATCGCACTCACACTTTACTGCCAGGTCTTGCAAACGACGCTTCAAATTACTCACTTAGCCCAAATTAGTCCTGTATCGGCGCATCTAACTGTCATGTTGTTAATGTTTTACTTTACTGTAACACCCAATTTGAGACCGTATTGCACAATGTTTTGTCATTTACGCTGCAAAATAAATAAAGAGGAAGGCAGGGATTACTATGTGTACCAAGGGA